CGCGACCGCACGCGCTCGACGGGATGATCGGCATCAGCATCGGTAGTTTTTTCAAGGGTGCCGTCTGTTTTGGAGAACCCAGGCACCACCGCCAAAACGAGTCGCGATTCTTTCACGGACGGACTCACCCAACAGCGGTTGGTTCGGGAAGCCATTGAACAACATCTCGCGTGCGCTTGACAGGGCTCGAAAAAACGAAAAAAAACTCTCCCTTGGTACCAAGCAACCGCCAACCACAACCTTAACCGCCTTCCCTGCCGCCCCACAATCAAAAACACAACCGTATCTTTTCCCGCCCGACAACCTTCCCCCCCTTAAAAGGCCGACCACGCCCCTGTCGCCACGACCGGAGCACAACTCGTTAACCTCCACGCTGATACCTCGACATCGACGACATAACGAGACAAGAAAAAAACATGATTCGCCCCTATTCTCCTGCGTGAAGCCTCGCGCATTGATTACCTTGTCCTTGAAGGCTTGGCGGAGCTCCTGCCCCAGACAGGCTACCCTCTCCCTTTCTCCTTCCAGTTCCGCCCGGGATGCTTCCAGCTCTCCCTTCAACCCGGCCTCCGCCTCCGCTGCCGCTCCCGCCGCCGCCTCCGCTGCCGCCGCCGCCGCCGCCGCCGCATCGGTGTTGGTCGACACCGCCTCATCCCTTTCCCTGTTGGCTGAGGCGACCATCTCTCCAACGGCCGCCACCTTTGCTCGAAGCTCATCGACCTCCGCCCTAGCGCTCGCGAGTTCGTCAGCCGCCGCCGCTGCCGCCGCTGCTGCTGCTGTCCGCTTACTCTCACCCTCCTCCTCCTCCTCCTCTGTTTCCTTCACAGCAGCAGCAGCGGCAGCAGCAGCAGCTTCTGCCGCCGCTTCACGCAGCCGGTCGACTTCCGACCGGAGCTCTTCCGCCTCCGCCACCGCCCGCTGCAGCCGCGAAGCCCCCTCCGCCTCCGCCGCCGCCGCCTCTTCCCGCAGCGCCGACTCCCTAGCCTCCGCGGCTTGGCGAGACTCCGCGGCTTCCCGTGCCGCCTCTTCCCTCAGCGCCGACTCCCCGTCCTCCGCGGCCTCGCGAGACTCGACCGCCGCTTCCTCCAGGCGTCGCGCCTGCTCCTCCAGCTGGGAGGCCCGCGCGACCGCCTCGTCCCTCTCCTGCTGGACCCCGACTAGCCGGTGCTCCAGCGAGCCAGCGTCCCTGAGGAAACTCTCCACCTGCTCCTGGCTCTTGGACGCGGCCTCGGCAGCGGACGCTTGCCGCTGGGCCTCGGAGGCGGAGACCTCCTGCCGCAGAGACTCGACCACGGCCTCCAGCCGCGCGCACTCCTGAGCGTATTTTTGCCGACCCGGACGACAAAAAAGACAAGAGAACAACGACAACCACGACGATGACGACGACAGCAACAAGCAGAAGGAGAAGCAGCCGAAAAGGAGGCGAGGGTCACAAGCGGTAAAAGCAGCCACCGGTCACCTTGATGCGAACTGCGTCGTAATTTGTGAATTTGTGACCGGCGTGGTCACTCGTCGGGGGGGGGGGGGGGGGGGGGGGGTTTCCCCCCAAAAAAAAAAGGGGGGGGCCCGGGAAAGGGGGGGGGGGGGGGGGGAAGGGTTCTTTTTTTGGGACCCTTTTTGGTTGGGGCCTTGACCAAAGGGGGGGGGGGGGGGGGGAGTTTTTGTTTTTCTTTTTTGGGGAAGGGGAAAGGAAATTAATTTTCCTTTACAACCCAAAAAAACCAGGGTTTTTTCCTTCTCCCCCTCTCTCTCCCCGGGTTTTTTTTTCCCCTCCCCCCCCCTTGGGGGGGGGAAAAAAAAATTCCCCGG